TTCTCCTCTCTCTCTCTCTCTTTCTATTTTTCCTTTTTTTTGCCTTTCTTTCTTTCGTTTTTTCTTTTTTGGTTAAGCAGAGGGGGAAGGGGGATTGTTTGGGGGGAGCATTGGTTGGGGGAGAGGGGTGTTAGGACACATATATGAGGATCTAAAGGAGGCCAGATCATCATAGTATATACTTCAAGAACCTATTTATTGCCCAGAACCATGCTAAATGGGAGATTCAAATTCTGAATACCTAGACTTATTGATGGATCGCCGAGTAGTTAAGGGTGCCCTTTCTTGGAAACAGAAATTCAGAAGGAAATTGCTGAACTAGGTCATGACAAAGCCCCTAACCCGGATGGATGTCCTATCGCTCTCTAACACTATTTATGTGACGGTCAAATGCCAAATGTCCTGGCTATGCTCTACAAGTTTTTTCATAAAGGTATCATCCATAGAAGGATGAACTCAACTTCTCCAACTTAAAAGTAACTTAAAATAAAACACCCTAGCTTTAAATAAAATTCTTAGAAATATAAAAACCCTAGAATCCCTAAAAAGACTTAAAAATCCTAAAAATTAATCTTCAAACTAAAATTAAAATATACATCCTTTGAAATTAAATAAAAAAAAAAAAAAAAATTGTCTTGTATTGTAAGATCAATGGCTCATGTTGTAGATTATTCTTCGATATGGTGAAATCATGGGTTTGAATCACCTAGTGAACATTCTTTTTGTGGGCTTTAATCTTTTCTTGAATTTTTTAATATAAATTCAGGCTGTTAAAAGTCAATATGTGAGCTCCAAAAAGTTTGGGTCCAATGCCCTCTTGAAGACATGTAGTTAGTCTACCACCTTTTGAGTGGCGCACAAGTATAAAAGATTTGCAAATTTTTTGTTATACATATGGTAAGTACTATTTAATATAAGGGTGAGGTTTGTATAAGTTATCAACCTTAAAAAACCAACGTATGGCACACGTCAAAACTATGCCAAAAGATTCAATTTTGGCACTAGAAGCCCTACAATGGTATAAAAATCTATTGTCACCACTAATTATGTAATTTAAAAAGCTCCAAAAAAAGTAGATCGAGCAGATATTTAAACAGTTAGCAATTTTTGAAATTGGACGGTCCTGATAATTTTCTACAATATGTATTATTTTCATGACTTGAATTTTTTTTTTTTTTTATTTGTAATATACGTACATCTTGAGGTTGAGATGATCAATTTGAGGATTTTCCAGCATTATTAAATATTTTTTTGATGGATTTTTGTGGTGCGCCTTGCTTCAATAGTATAAGGTTGACACCATGTATAAACTTTTTCCTTAATATAAAACAATGAAAACATAATCCTTGAGGTTTGAACTCTGGTTACATTTGCTGACCGGCAGTGAGATCTACCGCTACAGAACCCATAAATTTGGTTGTAGAAGATCACAATTTTATTGTATAAACATAATTTCTAACATGAGATAGTATTGTAGAGATGTGTCTTGCTGTATTCGGTTCTCTCAATGAAGCACTAGACACTCTTAGTATGTAACAACACCGACACAGGTGTCAGTGTACCATTGGGGAGGAGTTGCATCCTGCAATCCAGGAGCGCCATTTCTGGCCAACCCCCATTATAATCAATACCTAATGAAGGATATCCTAATTAATCTGCTTTGTCGTACGCTCTGTCCATGTTCAGTTTTAGGATTAGGCTAAGAAGTTTGGTTGGTGCTTGGCATGGATGCACTCATGGATCTAGTTTAGTCATTTACATTAGACGAAGGAAGTTATAAGCTTTTGTGCTTAAGTTAGGACATGGGGGTGAAATAATTATTTGCATGGACAATTATTGTCTTTTGAATATTAAAAAGAATATAAGAGTGGTGCATGAGGGCCTGGAGGCTTATTCACGTGACATTATTTCAGAAGAAAGGAAGGAAAAGCCCCAAGCTTTTGAAACCCTAGCTGGATTAGGGAATAAACCCTAGGCTTCTTCTAATTATTGCTTGTGTTTGGCCTCAATTATCGTTGTTGTTTTGTACTCTTTCAATTTCCCTACATTACCTTAGCTCCTAAGAATATATAAGACAGTTCTAAAAAAGTGTCAATATGTACTAAAAAAGTGTCAATATGTACTAAAACATGATGACAAAACTCTATTGTTTTGTTGATTCCCTGCCTAGGGTTTGTGATATCGGTAAAGGCATGGCAACGAGAAGGAGACAAGTAAGGGATGTTTTCGCAAAACCCACTTCATAAATCCCGAGAGGAGGCGATTGAAGACCTTAGAAGGAAAATTCAGCAGCTTGCACGGCAACCCACGGGCATCATTCATTGGCAAGAAGGAGATCCTTCCACCCACGAAGATGTCAAATTTAATCATTTTCATTGTCCTTCTCCACATGAAGAGCATAGTGAAGAAGAGAGTGATAGAAGACCTAGATGTAGCGCACATCACTCTAGGGTTTTCGATTTGAATGAGCATTCTTGATTTTGATGCAGGTTGTACCCAAAAACAACTGATTGTAGATTGGGATTTGCCACCAATCTTCGATACATGCTTAGATGAGCAACAAGCTCTCTTAGGAGATCTGACCTATGATAAGGATCAAGATGAAGATGTTTCAGGAGAGGATCTTGCTTGTGAAGAATATGGAGAGAAGGCAACAAGGGAACTAATCAAAATCATGGCCTTTGAAGATGATATTGAACAGCTGGAGAATTCAAGAGATTTAGGGCATTGGAATCAGAGTAGCAAAGGTGAAGTGTGGTCTACTCACAAACTACAATTTGTAGCCCTAGATTTAGAAAGTAATGAAGAAGATGTCAAGAAAGCCTCTAAGGTCTAAAAAACTAGGTTTGAAGTTTCCTACTCAAATTTCAAAGGGATTTCAGGGAGAGCTGAATTTGATAAGTTTGTATCAATTCCTTACCACAGATACCAGGATCCGTTTCTCGAGAATTTCTTCTTACCACGAATAATACTTAAACCAACAAAGAAGAAAAAAGACAGAAGATGGTTCTGATGTTGGATTCATCTTAGATGAGTTTTCTCCAATCATGAGAGATTGATGTACAACAGTTATTCTTATTTTTAAATTGTATTTAATTTCAAGGATGTATGTTTTAAATTTAGTTTAACGATTTTTTAATTTTTTAGGGACTATAGGATTTTTTATATTCCTAGGAATTTAATTTAAATTTAGGGTGTTTTATTTTAACTTACTTTTAAGTGGGGACTGTTTTAGTAATTTTATGACTTATGTGCTTAAGTTAAACATAGGGGTCAATTTATTATTTGCATGGACAATCATTGTCTTTGGAATATTAAAAAGAATATAAAAGTGGTGCGTGGGGAATGAGGGTTCATGTGACTATTTCATAAAGTAAAATAAAAGGAAAATCCATAGACTTTTTTAACCCTAGCTGGGTTAGGGAAGAAACCCTAAGTTTCTTCTAATTATTGCTTGTGTTTGGCTGAAATTACTGATGTCTTTCTGTTCTCTTTCAATTTCCCTACATCACCGTAGCTGCTAACAATATGCAAGACACTTACATAAGAAGTGTCAATATGTACTAAAACATGATGACATCACTAGACCAGTAGACCGTACTAGTCAAGGTGTTAGGGCCATGTCTGCAAGAATCAATACATGCCGACACACAACATGCTTGCAAAAGTGAAGTAATCCGATAATAATGCTCCTTTCCCCATCTTCTGATCCTCATTGAAGTCCTCATGGCTGCTTCCCCTATCTGAGGGGTCACCATCAAGCAGACCAACTGTCCCTGCGTCCTTTTAGCTGTTATAGCCGAAACTTTCACCAGGTACATCACCAATTTGTACACCCTAAATAGGCTCAAAGGCTTATCCATCTCTTGGACAGCCGACCTATTTCTCTCCACACTATCACAAGTAAAATCTAGACTGTAATAATTGCAGTCAAATTGCTGATTTATTCGAACTGAATTGCAAGACAACACTCCATTGTCATCCGAGCTGCGTTCATAGGTTAGTGAGTAATGCCTATAACCAAATGATCAATTATTCAAATGGAAAAAACATAGAACCATTTTTACGTGAGTACAATAGACGTTTTAAGAAGTTTCACAATATACTTGGTTGATGCATACCCAAATCATTAAGTTACCCCAAAATTCCTTCTTCACTAGAGTGGTTAAGGCCTACTAACTAACAGATACAACTAGAATATCCTAGCATGCATGATATGAATAGCAAGGAAAATTCTATCTTTCTCTAATTAATTTTTGCTGAGGAGAATGAGTAGTACATCAAGTTGGATTTTGTTTCTAGCCAATTCAGACGTGAGATGAAGAAGTAAACACTAAAATATACTAAATCTGTAATCTAAAAGATTCCATATGGAAGGAAGATCATTTTACTCGCAGGACTGCAGTAAAACTATACACATCTCTTCAAGATTTAGCGGGTACCAAAATGCGTGGAGAGAGCTGGGAAACAGGGATTACTATACTCACTGATATGTTGATGTACTCTCTAAAAAAGTCCATGAGAACTTCCTCGTCAAGTCTCATCCTCTCAATTGTTTCTTCCTTGATATAGTTTCTCTGCAACCATTGTACAAAGAATAAACAATTTTTTTATAGATTACGACGAAATCAGGTACTTATATTTACAACATCAAGAAGTGCACAACGATAAAGATGTTATAAATAACCTGAGATAGGAGATGATCGACATAAACAACAATTGTCTCCTCCAGACAAGCCTCAACATATCTCCTAAAAGATCTTTCCTCAATGTATCTGGGTAAAATGACAGCAAGTTACACCTAGAACATAATCAGAATAGTGCGCTGCAAATGCTACACAATCAATCAAACGAGATAAATATCATTGAATCCTGTATACAAGTTCTGAATCACATTCAACTCTAACTCCCTAAACAAAATCAACCAGCATACATTCAACACAGATTGCCATCCAGCACAATGATTTCTTTTTATCACATCAGCTAGGATTTGAACCTTAGACCATCAGGGCCGCAGCCTTTACATGCTATCAACTAGGCCAAGGGACCAAAACCCATTTTATTTATTGATTTCATTTTTAAAATTGCCCCCCTTTTCTTAGTAGAAAAACTACTCCAGTCAAACAAAAAGGAAAATGCTCAATGCCTTTTCCCTCTGTGATGTATACTGCTACAGTGAACAAAATCCAATTGTAAAGTACACTTTTGTTTTCAAGAATTAAAAGACATGAGGAATATGGTTTACAATTTCAAATTTTCTATAGAATTTCACATTTCTTATTTTTGCGACATTTTTCAAATTTCTCAATACCAATTACTGAGAACTCCAAAAATGAAATTATTTGAGGAGAATAAGAAGAATGAAGGAAATGCCCTAGAAAAAGAAAAAATAAAAGTCTCAACTTGATTTTGAAATTATTTTTCAGGAATCAAAAAATTTCACATTCTATAAAAGATTGTGGCATGTGGATTCCACTTGACTATTAATGTGAGCAATGCCCCTCATACAAGACGACATAGATTAATCCATTTTACATTTTTTTACTTGTCCCAGAATTACATGGCAAAGGTCATGAAATGGTAGCATACATAAACTATAATTGGGGATACTTAACTTTCAAACATAATATTTCTCATGTCTTATGCATGTTAAATAGAAGATGTTCGAGATTTTATGACGAAACCTGACCTTATGATCAGAGAATTCTGCTATAACCAGAAGAATTATGCAACTAGAAAACACAAAGTGCAACCCGGTCCATCAAAGGAATAAACAAATGTTACAAGACCAATCTGAAATTATGCATGCCTGGAACAGCAGAAAAAATTTGCAGAACAATGAGGCTTACATCTTTACATCTGTGAAATAATCACCAAATGTTGCGACAAGATACTCAGTTACCAATCCTTCAGCCCAGTCTGTCAGTTATTCAATACAAACATTATAAAAATTAGAAGGGAAAATGGAATCGCATAATGGAATATTCAGGACCTTGCACAAATTACAAGACAATGTACATAGAAATCAGTAAACATTCATCTACATTGATAACCCTTTCATCACCCAAATACAAAACTAAAGCACCACTACTGGATCAGAACCAGACTTCTGAGGAAGTGAAGGGCATACATGTAATAGTGTCCTAAAGAGATAAACCTGACCCTCTCCACATTGAGGCATAGACATGAAGGTTATTGCAAGTGCACCCCATATGCCCATATCATCAGAACAAGATGACCCACTATTTATATTCAGAAAAAGGGAGTACACTTCTAATCATTCATGCAAGTTTCACAAAGAACCCACATGATAGAGCTAATTCGATAGGAGTGAAAAACATTAATAGCATGTAACTAAATTGTGGAAAATGCAGGCATAGCTTATCAGTGCAGATTGCACTGAGTTGGGGCAGCGTTGGCAGTGAACTTGACTCCCTAAAAGCCAGGTTCGTTCTGATTCTCTTTCATTCCAGTCAATGAAATAAAAGTCGAGTTATATAGAGATGTGCATTGGGTTATGAATTATTGCCTGGGTCTCACCGGCTTTCCCAGGTAAAGTCTAGGAACGGGCAAGAGCATAGGAACATCAGAGACAAGGGCCTATGGTGCTCTACCATAACAACAATCATCTGGAGAGTTTGGAGAGCACAATAACATGATTTCTAACTATACAGGAATGGACTAGGAGATAGGGTCTGTGATTCATGGGGATGAATCATTGCAGGCCCTACACCTCCTGGTTAGGAAATGGGTTACAACAACGGACCTCAGGAGTCATGGGCGAAGATCATCAACCGAGCCCTACCCAGATGCAGTAAAGGGTAGGCTTGATGACCACGGTAGGGATTATTTGTGACAATGAGTTCAGCAAGCAGTGAAAAGCTAGGCACGCCTGCCGGGTAATGTGAATTCAACTAGGCTTAGGTGAGTAAAGTACTAGTTGAAAGTGGATTTTGACCTACACTTTTTCAGAATCATGGATTATTGAGGGGGAATTCTTGAATTTTAACAGGTAGTGCAAATGGGACTTTCCATTTCTAGGGAGTGCATAGGGAATCCGGATATAAAAAACAGTCATAAAATGTCATATGGTGGAGTACTGCCATATTTTAGGGAACCAGTTCCTTGGGTCATTGCCAAACCTTTAGATGCTAGACACAGGAGGCAGAATGTTGGGTACGATAACCCCTAACTTTTTTCTGCTTTTCTTTTTGTTTCGATTCTATCTTTAGTGTTCACTAATGAATTTCTTAGCTGACTAAGCAATATAAATAATAATGATTCTAGAATTTCCAACCCTCCATTTCTCAATGACTGCAACAGAGAAGCAGCTGAAAAATATATTTAAGTCAACAACTAGCATATTTCTTTCTGAAAAGAGCATTGAAATGGAGCATAGATGAAGAATGAAAATCCTGTAGAATGAATGACCTTTTTGATAGAGCTTCGCAAGCAATTCCTGCACTCCTGGATCTTCAAAGATAACAACAACAGTTTGATGCACAGCTTCCTGCCACAATAAAATTTCCACCACTTAAAGAAACATTCAAATCCTCTGAGGGGACAGCAGTTGCCCACATTATGAGATCAAATAATTATAGTGAAGAGGCGTTTTTTGGATATATAGTGAAGAGATGTTACAATGGGGTTAATTATACAATGATCAGAACTCCAAGAGAAAAGAGTATGGCATTAGAAGAAGAGACTTAAACACCCAAAACTTTTCATCCCAGGGCTTTTAGATCATGACACTTAGCAGAGGCTCAGTGGGTAGTTCTAGAACCTTACACTTGGGTGACATTCCCGTTCCCAAATATTAAAATATTTAGGAAATCTTCTATTCTATCCACATGATCTCACTTTTTCTCTGAGAAACGTTCTCCAAAAGTTTCATGTCAGCCAAGACTGATGAAATTTGTACAAGGTACAGGTAGGCACAAATAGCAGTACTAGGTGAAACAGGTAGCCAGAAGACCAATAAACAGAGTCCCTTCAACATCCATGTCCACAACCACCATCCTCACCATGGGTCCTTAAGGCAGCTTGGAAGAGCAGGGGCCTCAAAGGTCAAAGTGTGAGGTGTTTCACAATGTAGGCATAGCATTCAATTATGGAAGACACTTTTTTTCCAGGTATTTGAACTGTCGTCAGGTTCGCTATGCATTTTTCTCAAAGAGGCCAAAGTTTTCACCTTCATCATCTAGAGAGTAGCCAAATGGAATCTTATAATGCTACATCATCTTGTTTAACCTCTTTGGCAAAAGCGAAGAAAATGATTTTTCCAAATAGTCCGAAGGGCCATTCTTTCTCTGAAGCAGACTACTCTGGCATTTTTTATGTCATTTTTTCCCAAATCCTTTTAGCCATGTTAGACAGTAATCCTTAAGCGGGGATATTGCCCTTGAGTAATGTTTATTCTTTCTAGTTGGAGGGGTTTAGACCTACAGTGGCCTCTATTTTATGTAAAGATAGAATTTCCTATTAAAACTTAATTAGTAGCTTGAATATTTTAACAAAGTTAGAAGGTACTTCGATATTGCAAATCTTGTAGGTAGACAATAGTAAAAAATTTCCATAATAAAGATTTGGAGTTCATCTTGATTTGTGTAACCTGTGTTAGCGCCAATAGACAAAAAGAAGGCATGCCTTATTACTAATAGTTTTTTTTTACCCTTACCAGTATTAATATTATTCAACTTTGAGATGAAAAGTGGATTGGGGGTGCATGGTTGGCTTTGTTTTATAACTTTGACGTGACAATATGAATGGCTAAGTTGTTGGTGAATGACTCATATAATTACAGCAAATTAAGCGATTAATTTGAGGCTTCCATTTGAAATCCAAATGATAAGATTTAAACTATGAGTGAGCATGTCTTATAAAAAATAAGGAATTCTTCATGATATAAATTGCATCGAAATAAAGAAATAAAAGAATAGGCCATAGTTACTGCCGGGATCTAATAACTTGGTAGGTGATCCCTTCTACAATCTTGATTTTGTCGCTCTTGGAATGGATCTCTAAGGGATCTCGAATTTTAAATTCTACATAAAAGGATCATGATTCTTGCTGTTATGGACCTCGATCAACAACCAAACTGATGATTTTCTTTGTTTATAGCCAACTAGCAACACAAATATTGCTCGCTTGCTATAAATAATGAGATCCCTACTTTAAAGAGTATACATACTCTTCAATTATCATACACTTTAAGGTTGGTAACAAGATCCCCAAAATGTTGGGATCAAGATTCCAAAAGGTCGGGATCAAGATCTCCAAAAGGTTGGAATCTCGATCCTTAACATTTGGGGATCTCGATCCCTAATATGTGTATTGTATGGACAGCGTTCCCAATCATAGGGATCTTCTAGCATTTCACAATCCCTCGCACGCGATCCCGATCCTGGTATCATTCTCGCTCCGATCCCAACAACTATGGAATAGGCTGAGTTAAGTATCATGTGGCGGTAATATGTCAAATCAAATGATCTTTAAATCATACTCATGCATATGGCTACAAGATAAAATGGTTAACAGAAGCAGTGTTTCAGGACTCAGTCGAGTCCATTCAGACTAGGATGGACTCGGCCAAACATCTCAGCCTTGGCCAGTGGCCAAGGAAAGTCCCAGGGGCCAACTCGCCCATGTTAAAAATAATTAAAAACTCAAAATTAGTAAACAATCTTCAATATATGATTTAGAAATACAGTTTTATGTTATTTATATGGTTTTTATGATGATTTGGGAACTTTTCTTATTAAAAGCTCCAATTTGTTATTTTTCCGTTTTTTATTTTTTAAAATATTTCAAGGTTCTAAATCAAAAAAAAAAATTAGTACACTATTTTTTATATACATTTTTGGACTTTTATAGACTTTTCGTGATTCCTATTGCCTATTTTACTTTTCGCTCATTTTGTACTATTTTTAACAATTTTTTATTTTTAAAATTTCTAACTTCTTTTTTTTTGCCTTGTATAGGACTCGGCCTTTTCCATTCAGACTTGGAGAGTTACTCAACTCAAACCAGGGACGAGTTCAAGGCCCGAGCTGAGTTTTAAACATTGAACAAAATTTTATATCATCATTCTCAAATTCAGACAAAATTAACTCCAAACTGCAATTTTAACTGAGGAAAACATTTATGCCATTTCACATCTAGCTATGCTAACCTGATAGGGAGAAGCTCTACAATGTGCACTATCAATACCACCATTTCTTTATGGAAGAGAAATTTGAAAGCCAACACAGGGGCTTGAGGGGGAGCAAGTATGCAGATAACAATAAATGTCTACAAAACCCAATATGTTTAATTTACACAAAATGAAGATCAATGAAATCTAAATTTTCACATCATAACCAACCTTTGCAACCTCCAGAAAGCCTTTGCAGGTATCTTCAAAATTAACCTGAGATAGTAAAGCGAAAACAAATAGTCAAAAGCATGTATGGCTCAATAAGTTCCTTGATCGAAATCCACACGACCTAGAAAATGTATTAATACACACTTTGATAACCTACATTTATTTTTTAAATAAATACAAATACTTTGGTCATTCCTATTCAGTTAATTTAAACCAAATTTTAAAGTCTCACCTACCATGCCCAACATATTGGGCAATTTATTGGCAATAGGAAGGAGAATGAAATTATTCCACTTGTGATCCATATGAAACAAGAAATATCACACCAAAACCCAACCAAAGAGTTGTTAAGGGAAAATACCCCATCTAATTGAGAGAACTTGATAGTTTATTGTCTCAATGTTTTTTTTAATAAGTTGACTGTTATATTAATTGGGAAAAAATGTACAACCAAGAGCGTACGCAAAAATAGGCAATCCATTAAAGGGTGCCCTGTACAAAAACCCAGTACTGGCCCAAAAAATGCTCACCAGAAACAAGAGAGAAAAAGGACGTTGCAAGCCTAAAAGATGCCCACAATCCCCATGATGGAGTTATGGCTAGCTCCTTCCCTAGCTAGAGCATTGGCAGATTCATTGGATTCCCCGAAAGTGTGTGGCCAGATGACATGAGGGAAGGTGCTTACGTGTGATTTCATCAAAAATGTGGTCAAGTCTCCAGAGGCATCGGGCAGCCCCGGAGGCCCATGAGATGATATTTCTGGAGTTGCCTTCGGCTACCGGGTATGTATTCCAGCTAGGGTCCAATCTTCAAAGCCCCTCTAGCAAAGCAACAACCTCCGCAGTTGATGACTCCATAAAACCAATGGGTGAAAAATTGGAGAGGAGTGATCCCTCGGAATTTCTATATAAGCCCCCAATACCAGAGGATCATGGATTGCCTAGGGAGCAACCGTCGAAGTTAAGCTTTGTTTACCCCAGTTCAGGCAGCCTCCAAAGAGAAGAACGGGATATTCTTAAAGCTTTGAGCTTCAAGAGGGCCTAGCAGTTTTGGTGGAGGTCAAAAAAAGAGAACTTCCTAAGAACTTTATCGTTTTTTGGCCCAAAAAACAACAAAGGTTCTATCTTGTCAATCAAGGTCGGAATTGAGCTTTCTCAGCCCTAAAAATTCTGCTATTCCTTTCAAGCCAAACCATCCACAAGGTGGTAGCAATCGAGGCCCTCCATAGGAGGTTGCCTGATTTGGTCCAAGGAGTGTGAAGGCAAGTAAAAAGGAGGTGAGGGATGAACTAAGGGGTGACCCAGGTCCACTTCAATAGTTGGAGAAAACTGATCCAAAGGGCTAACGCTACATCACAATGGATGAAGAGATGCACATTAGTCTCTTCAGCCTCTAGGCACAAGGCACATCTGTTCGGTAGGGAAAGGGCCCTTCTTTGAAGTTGATCAACTATTAGGGCCCTTTCACAAAGGGTGACCCAACAGAAACTTGAATTTTAGGAGAAATAAATGGGAAGCAAGCCTTGGCCGTGATCGAGGGGAGGGCAGCAGGAAGGGTAGGAGGCGAGGTGATGGCTAGATAGAAAGAGGCAAATGTCAAGACCCCAGATGAGGTTGGGGACCAGACTATCTTATCTTCCCCAGAATGGGGGAGGAACATCAAGTGTAGAAGAGCTGAAAGCTCCAATATTTACAGTCTACACTCATTTTAGAACCTTGACTATATAAGCATCTCATTTTTTTTTTAACCCCTAGTTTCCATTTGCCCCAATACATAATAACTCCGTTTCTTCTGTTACATGGATTCTTTTGTTGGGTGTCCTATGTGTGTCAGACATGTATCGACACCGGTGTTCGCAAAATCGAACCGAAACGGTCAACCGGACATGGGTCTGGAAGCGATTTAACCAGCCTAACTGGTAAACCGGCCGATTCAACCGCTCTAAACGAGCAAGTCCCGAACAATAAAAAAAAGTGTTAAAAAAAAGAAAAAGATACAAAAAAAATCTACTAAAATATGAAAAGCATATAAAGAATGTGATTAAAACAAAACACACTCAAATGAAGTTAAAAATTTATGAAAAAATGGATTTTAACGAGTAGATTTGTGCCTAGGGTATTTTTAAAATTTTCTAGAAAAAGATAGGAAAATATAAAAGTGAGAGTATCAATGACCAAATTGTTGTTTTAATATTTACCATAATGTAAAGAATATTAAAATAGTGTTAGAAAATCGAATTGACCAACTCTTTTTTTGAAGAAAATGACCTTTTTTTTTCTTAAAGAAAATTATCTTTTTTAAAAAAATGAAGAAAAAATTATGTTATATATAATATAGGCCCTCAGTTTTATCCACTAAGTAGTAAATGGCATATTGGTTAGTGGGTCTAGTAGTATAAAAAGAAAATGATCTTTTTTTTTTAAAGAAAATAATCTTTTTTTTAAAGAAAATGAAGAAAAAATGATGTTATATATAATATAGGCCCTTATTTTTATCAACTAAGTAGTAAATGGCATATTGGTTAGTGGGTAAAAGGCAAAGGACTCCATTAAAAAAGAACGCTGGCGGTGGGATTTGAACCCTAATTCAAGTAAAAACTAATTGTCAAAAGTAACCAATACACCATTCTAATGTATTTGTTATTAATTTGAAGTACTATTCTATTTAAAGTTTAAAAAACTAGTTGATCACCAAAACCGGCCAAAACCGGAACCGGCCAGTTCTAACCTGCCGGTTAGCGGTTAGATCAGCTGGTTTTGCGAACACTGATCGACACATATACAAATACAGATTCTTGCGGATTTTTCTTTTTTTCCTAACCAATGATTGCATCTTGTAGAGACTTCAAGTTTTTTTCTTTTGAGTAGGCACATTAAAAAGTCTATGGAACTCTTAAACTATCTATGGATTCAGCCAATAAAGGTATAATTGATTGTTCCTTGCTTGCTACACATCATGAAGGGAATTTTTTTTTGGTTATATCTTCTTAGTATAACCGTATTGCCGAGTACTCTTCTTCACGGCATGAGGAGCCGACACCTGGTACCTGTGTCAGACAATGAAACATATCCATGCCCATTTCAGATTTCAGTTTCATGGTACCTTAGGGTGATTTTGACTAGTCTCAGTTGATAAAATTCAGTTAGAGATTTCATGGTTCCTATTAGAGAGTGTCTAAAATGACTTTAAATGCTTTGATGGGTCCAATAAAAGAAATGCTCATACGTTTTCAAATACAACTATTTTTGTACATCTCAATGTTAGCAACTAGATCCTATGGGCTTCCGATATTTCCTCATGGGAAGAATTTTTGGGGTAGTTTACTTCCATTGCTAAAAAGCCTATGAGAACTTGTCCACTTGGGTGACTAATGTTGCACAAATCACAACCAAGTATATGTAACTGATACATTCCTACGTAGTGGAAAATAAAAGACGACCTACTTTAAGACACAGAAAAGTGCAGAAAAGAATTCATTTTGGAAGCCCTATGCAGTGCCAAGCACTCGAACATTCATTAAAGAGAATAAGGCTAAATAGGATTAGCTACACAAAAATTCTATTTCTAAGAAATGTAAGAGAACAGAACATATCAAAGGCACAAAAATTGGCAAAATAGGATACCAAATGAACTAGATATGTAATTTCTGGATTATTCATAATCAATAACCAGTCTCAAGATGAAATCATGATGCAATATGACATTCGTAGCATCGGAATGTAAAATTCCTCGAGACCAATTAGATGCACTGGCCCCCCACACATAGCTTCAGGAAACTGGAAAAAAAAAATCACAGCATCGAGCAAAACCTGTTCAGCATAGTACGGCGAAAGATTTTCTAAGGTGCTGCTACTGAGCTCCATGGCAAGATCATAACAGCGCAGATTGTTGTTAATCTAACCACACAAAGCAGATAATCAATCAATTGAAGAAATCAACTTGCCAGATGCTTAAATAAAACAAGTTTCATGATTTATAGGGCATGACAATGAAAAGAGATCCACAAACCATTGCACATAAAGGCTCTAAACCAATCTCAGCAACTGGTTCCTCAAGTCTCTTCCTTTCTGCTGCCTGGAAATCAATCATCACCTGAACTAAAGAAAGTGATGTCAGACTGAGAAATCCATAGTTATAAGCATAAATAAGCAGAGCGGAAATCCCCCATCAAGCAAATTGATGGACTACTAAAGAAATGCAATAATTACTTTGAGAATTCTGATATTAATGAGCCTGATTAGATTTCAAAAAAAACATCATTTACCTTCACTTGTAAATTTACAACCATTCTATGCAATCTTAAGTTTGTAAGAGTTAGAATTGTCGAAATAAAAAAAGTTAGCTATTAGATTCCCCAGACAATTTAACAAGACTCAAATACACAAATGAAATTAGAAGGGAGAGGACAACAGCCACTACCAATAATGGAGTTTCACAGGACCATAAATATATATTGTGTTATAACACGAAATCACTACAAGTATCTCACTTACGGTTGGATTGAGGATAATATAATATTGATTTGATGCATAACATTATATAATATAATAATTATAATTTTTATTTTTATTTTCCAGTGTCGATCCTAATTTTGGAGCGGGGACCAGTCGCCCACCGAGGATTTTGACGAGGCAGCAATACGCTGGCATGACAAACAAGGGCAGGTATTATGATCAGCAACTCACACTCTGGAGAATTGCATTGCCACCACTTATAGCTCATGCTACCAAAAGATATACTTTCCTAATCACGTGAAACACCAAGTGCCACAATCTACCCAAATAGAAATCTCAATAAACAGGCAATCCTTTTTAATTTTATTTACTTTAAACCCTTAAATCTTCTTTGAAAGATCAAGAAAATTACAAGTTCAGCTGAAACCCAACAGAACTTTTACATGCATTTTTTATACAAGATATAAGAAATGGCTACGACTGAAAGTGTGAAACATTAGCCCCACCTCAAGGGGCCTTTTGACTTTCAATTTTGAACCAGTGATATCATATTTGCTTTGCTTTACTTTAGCCTCTCAAACAATTGAAAAGCCACTCAATCTCTTTGACCCATCATCCGGGCCTCTTTGGCTGTGATAAGAAGAAAGAGGTATCGAGCAATACACCTTCTATAAATCACATCATCATCGTCAAAGTCTTTTCCTAACTAATTGGGGTCACAACCCTCTATATATCACATGATGAATACAATTATAGAAACTGGATACGAAGGCTCCAAATTTCTTCAGCCATAATTCATGAATTTCACAGATAATATCATATCATCTCACTCAGATATTGCCATTACTGCAAATATTGCCGTTACTGCAAGTGAGAGAGGCCCTTCGATATCTTTGGCCAATCCCTTCGACCATGCTATTTGGCCATGCTATAAAATGAAGGGAAATTTTCAAAATATCCATGAGAGATGACCTATTCAACAATTTACCCATTTGCAATTATTCAAACTCAAGAACATGTGCTTTTTTTATGGGTATTTTAAAAGTAAACTAAAAGACATGGTTAAAATGTTAAAATGTTAAAATGTTCATCTCTTATGGGTACTTTGATAAATTTCCCTAAAATGAATAACAATTTCATTTATACAGTACTATTCTCTTTTTTGCTTTAACAGAAAACATCTCGTCCGTCCAAAAGCATACTACTATAGTGTCTGCCCAAGGGAGGAGAACTGTTGGATTCCTCACAGCTAATCACATCCACAGCGCCTAATTTCAATGTACTTTGGGGGTTACCAGGAAGACATGGCAACCATCGAAACCATCCAAATCATATTCTGGAAAATCTCTCCCAAATTGATAGCTCTCTTTCTCTCTTCTGCACTAGCTGTTGGAAACCCTGAGTACACAGAGGAATCTCTCTCTCTCTCTCTCTCTCTCTCTCTC